CTCAACCCAGAGTTCACTTGCGGTCGAAAATCATAAAAGAAAGCCACAAGTGTCACGCATACACAATTAAATATTCAAACTATCTACAATCTATCTGTCATCTTGCACGTTACTGTATCACGATTTTGTTGCGAAAGAAATTAAGACTAATTTAATACGTAAATTAAAAGTCTCAATTAGAGCCTCATTTTATATAATTAATTGCAATAAATATCAATATAATAACGTGTAATAATTATTGCGTATAATATTATTAAGAGTCTGATTAATAAAGTTGGAAGAAAAGAAATCAAAATTCTCTGGCTGAAATAAACTTTCAATAAAATTATGTTATCATATTCTATCAATATTTCCATGGAATTTGTTTTTTACAAGTTTAAAAAAACTTATGTACTTACTTGTATTTTTATATTTTATGATATGTAAATATCATTATTAAAAATCGTATTATGTAATTCTATGATTTTTTTTATTTAAAAAAGATAAAAGAAATGAAATTTTAGTCGAAGGTGATTAGGTACTGTATTTGGAGATTATGTAAGTATCAGAAGACTTGAAAACAACATCCAAAATCCAAACAATTAATGGGAATACCTACTAGGTTACAGGATTATTGAGCTCTTGAATCTGTTGGAAAATTTCGTTAATTTTATTGGCAAACAGCTAATACGTCGATTTACCATCTTCGTTTTGTCCACAAACAAATTTTGAATACGAATGGACTGTGGTATAATGACGTCAGCGATCCTGCGGTCTGTGCCGTTTTCCTGTACGTTTGTGGAACAAAAAGGCAAACCACGAAAGACACTCCTTCGAAGACCTTCAAAATGCAAACGTGCAGCGAATCAAAATACGCGATTATTGGATACAACCCGGATTTACATGAATAACTGCAAACAGAAAACCAACGTATTTTCATAAAGGTGCCTTATGGAAATACGCATTTCAAATAATGATAAGGCTAATTTCAGTGACATTTGGGGCATTTCACGCGAAGCGGACAGCGAAAATCAAGTCAGGTTTTGGATTTTGTTCATATTTAGATTAAATGTATTGCTATATGACCTGAATGGATGTGCATCATTATAATTTTTTTATGAAGCTTAGGTATTTTTTATGAGCGTTCAAAAAATTGGTAAAATTTTAGGAACAGATTTTTCAGAAGCTATTACTGCTATTATTACATTTGATTAAAAATAATCTAAATATTGGGCTTTTGACAATAAATAACTGTGTTTGTTACTATTTACTACAAATTTGAAATTTCTTTTTTGTTCACATAGAAAACCGGAAGTAAAGTTTTAAAATCGAATTTTACAAAACTTCGGGATGTAAAATATTTTTTGTTCAACCAGTAACCTAACAGTAATCCACTAGTAACACATTTATAGTAATTAACCAAAAAAGGTAAATTGATGAAACACAAACGTTTTACGTTACTTGGTATGAAACTCAACGCTGTTAACTGAATTAATGAGTTATTTGTAACGTTTATTAGCGGTCGTGTTTAGTTGTTCCTACATACTGAAATTTCCATACCTACCAAAGTAACCCACAAAAACCCGATAAGACAAAACAGGGAAATTCAAATGTGTACTCAATTTCAGCTTTGGTAGGTAACGTTATCATAATCACTCAGAGTATTGATATCGTTTACATTAATTACAATAATAAGTCGTATTAAGGCAATATAGGGTCGATAATCAAGTGGCCTCAAAAGTTTCAGTTTCAAGTGTCATGAATTTGAATTGTCAATTGACCCTTTCGAAGTGAGCGCCATAGAAAGGAAAGGTCAACTCGAATTGTAAATGAGAAAGTTAATCGTGGAAAGTGCGCGCGAGCGGATCTGAAGCACTTGTTGCAGTTTCTAAAAAATAAATATGCTGATGATGGACATTCGTTATGTGGTTATTCTCATAAACATAATTCGAATTTTTCGTCGGGTTCTCACTTCACTTCTAACTTTTATTACTTTATTGATGAGTAACAAACAAACGTTTTATTGCTTTAGAAACCGAGGTTGGCCTGACTTGGATTTGACAGACAGAAATAATTGGATTACTGGTTTTTGTTTGCAAGTGTCAAGTTAATTAATTTTCTATTAAAGTTATGAAACTCCTAGCATCTGCGCCATTTATCATACAAAATGTATTTGATACATTTTTTATTATTCTATCTGAATTCCAAGGTCATGAAATTATTTAATTTAATTATTACATGTCGAGTTCTTTTCGATGTGAAACGCACATTTAATAAATAAATTCGCATTGTATTATTTAAAAAAATGTTCAAACAATGTTTTGAATGAGGAGAACCACAATATACGGTGTAAACAACACTGCGGTGATACGAAAAACGCGGTCGTCAGGTACGCTTACCTGAGTGATTATAAAAAGTCGCCCCGTGACTGTTTCAAACAAAAGCCAATTATAATAATAACGAAACATTGAGGTGTGTTGGGGTGTTGTGTAAATGGGGTGAGGGATGATCCGGCCCGGTGCCCTTGATGCAAGGATCCAGGTCATAGCGCAGCAGCGATGATGGCACGGGACCGCGCCCACGCGTCAACTCCGCCTAACACGAGTCAACTGCAAACAAACTAATGCAAATTGCATACTCGTGCGTGAAACACTTGTGTTCAGAATGCTCTGCACATAACTCCGCTGTGCAATTAAATTTTGCTCACACTGTAATATGTTTACGAGTTCAGAAGCTTCAGTTTACTACGTTAAAGCTCCCGTGGCTTGTAACATTGTAACATGAACTATTGATTTCGATTTGACTCAGTCGCAGACATCTATGTTTTGTACCGAATTTAGGGATGAAGCAATATCAAAACAGACAACAGGAGTCGTTAACCAAAAAACATTATGTTGAGTTCTGTTCTTCTTAAATTCTTTTAGAATCTTAGTATTTAATTAGATATCAATTAATGATCAAACAGTTTTGGTAAAAGTAGGTGTTAATTCGTTACTTTATTAGTGCGAATTTGACTTGAACATTACGTACAATTTGTACAGTGGATGTTCCAACGCAAACTCGAAAAGTATCTACGTAAAGTTAAAAACAAAAATGAGACTTTACGTGCCATAATTGATTATTCACTAAGAAATACAAAGCAGACACGTTCATTTAAATTTAGATGACTATTTCAATTGAATAAAACGTGGACCGGACGACCGCGGTACTGGCACAAAACGTGCCTAATAACGTTACAAAACGATGAATCATTTTCTTTTCTTCGAGAGTTTTGAAGTTTCAGATGAAGTCCTTTAAGCCATATTATTCATACCATTCGTTAACAATGATGTGTTATTCATACCGGGTCAACGTTAGCTAAGAACAATAAATGCTATTAAAGATTCGTTGCTGGGATATTTATCATTTGGTATATGCAGGATATAACCTACACTCATTTTTCTTTAAATCTCTACATTTGGTACTAATTTTTTCATCCCAGCTCCAAAATATTACTGCATTATCTTTATTTTCCAGGAACTTATGTCCTAAAGATTTTCATACAATAAAATTTTTTTAGAGAACATTTCTATTCATTTTACATTTCTTGCACACCGAGGCACAAAGTAATGCCACGACGAACAAAAGATCTAAACGCATTATTAGCAGGTAGGCTGGGTTAAGGAATTCCAGTCTGAAGGGCCTTTTCCCCTTGGGAGGTTAACCCTGAAGCCCGAACCAAGGTCGACGGGTGCTCGAGACGTCATTGGAGGGATTTGACTGGATGACTTTGGTGTACCCTCGTCGCATTCGCATTATTCCAACGTCGCAGCCGATGCACGCGTTACTGCGGCCACTCGTCTGCCTTCTATCACTGCTCATTATGAATCATATTCATTCCACGTTTTACATATCGTATCATCCTTTGTTCTCAAACTTAAAATTTGTACCCAACACACTTTCTGAACAAAACATTGCTAACGCGAATACAATCATCACAAATTGGAATGATAATAAATTGGGTTTTGTGTTTAATTGAACACTTTCCATTAGACGTTGTAACGGCAAAGTTTATTATTCTGTCGTTAAAATGCTGTATATTATCAATTTTAAAAATATTACTGCTAAACTCTGGATATTAAGACAAAGACGTGAGCGTTGCACGTATGTATGTCGATACTACAATTAGAAGACATAAAAACGAGTGGAATAGTTGTGTCATTCCATTTTGTCCCCGAACGGTTGAGGCAATTTGCTGCTCTTAATCTTTCGACGACCCTAATTCGCAGGCGTAGAGTTTAAAACGCGGTCGACTTGATGTATGCAGAGCTTCGTCGGCCAGGGCGGCTCAAGGCTCCACACGGGGGCAACAACTTCTCCCTTCGTGCACTGAACCAACTTGTACTTGCAATTGAATATTTTAGGTCTGCTACACTGTCTGAAATATTCGTAAATTGCAACCAGACGCCGCGCTCTGATTTCGGTTTTATTCGTCATTCTTAACGTAATAAATAATTTTAAACTATAATATTTTTGTAGCATTCTATTTTAATTAGTTTGCTAGTTCTCACTTTTAACGATTGTTTATCCAATTTTTCATTTTAGAAAACGAAAGTTATAGATTTGCGTGTGTATTGCATAAAATCACATCAAAATGCAGTTAATTCAGAAAAGTGTATCATCATGAATTCATAAATTTTAGATTAATTACGCAATAAATATGTTTGTCCCAAAAGCTCTACATCTTATTGTAGCTTTCAAATCCATTTAAATGTGGGTACTTCGAAAATTTCGAAATACTCAAGTATTTAATTTAATTTCATAAGAGGATATTCGACTTTCAGCATAGTCGGTTTTCGGTTAGCGTGAATTGTAATAGCGAAGCTTGTAAACAGGCTTAAGCTTTCACCATCACAATGGAGACGGAGCGGAGAAAGGGTCCGTGGTGCGCAGCTGTCCCGCGGGCGCCGGCTGCGGGCGCTCCGCCCTCGCAGGCCCCGCGCCTCCGCTCGGCTGAAACCCCCAATCGGCCGCACTTGACGAACAACACCACTCCAGTCGCCCGTCAGACGTCGAGCGTTGCGCGCGTCTGTCACGACATCGCCCGCAACTCGACAGCCATGTGGTGAAGTGAAACTGTCAAACGTGATATCGTGATACACTTTCGCATACCGGTGATTATCGGTACATGTGAACATTAACTATACATCTCCGCTTGTGATTTGTGTATTCGAAGTGGTGCCACTGTTTTGGAAAATTGGATTATACGAACGAATAATGGCCTTAGCCAGGTGAGCTATTTTGGTTGTTGGAGTCAACACGGAACTAGTTTATTTTATCATGTTCATCGAAGGACTTGCGGTCGTTATTTGATTTAGAACTTGAGAAGTTGGACAGGTACGGAAATAGTTTGTGGACAGACCTTCCCTCAGCGTTGTGGTTATGACCCTCTTGTACCCTTTGTATAATTTGGCACTAACTTCCTGTAATGGTTTTAATATGGTGTGTTGATTTCGTTTGTTACTTATCGCTACAATGGGCGAAAGTTGCTTTGCACCACGCGCATTTAACTTTCCTTGTTGTGTAAGCTAAACGATAAACGACAGGTAGTAGAGGGAGCCATTTAGAAATCGAGGCACTTTTACTACTACTATTATTGAGCTAATGAACAATAACAACACAACACAACACAATTTCATTTAACTAATAAGACTAAAAATATTATATTATTATCTTTGTCTGAATTTACCCCAAATGGATCACCAAAGCATGTCGTTGATGCTATTTCTATGTTTTCTGTTTATTCCTTCGCACCCTCGTTCGCTACGGGAACCCTAAGTATTAACGAAACCCCTGTTTCGTATTCCCTTATTTTTGATGGCGTGTTGGATTTGGAAATTGTTGATGCAGGAAATAAACTCTCTAAAACGAAATGTAATTCAACGGTCAAACTAACGATTTCTTTTACCTTAATGTTAATTGTACCAGTAATTTCATTATTGTTGTTAACGTGTTTACCAAATAATGACTGAGTTTCTACTTAATGTTCATGGCTAGTTTGTAGAAAACGTATATTAATTAGTTTACGCATTAACTAATGTAAAATGTAGAAATCTTTTACATTCTAGACAAACAAATTTCAATCTTCGACTCTAGAATGTAGAGTCGTTTTCTGTGTTATCAAACACTGTAACTTGGTAATACGTAAACTCTTAAATAACGCGGATGATTGATACTTCGAGCCGATCAAGAGCCGATTCACCCCAAGCAGGTAGCAAGTCAGTCCCGACCGGAAAACGGTTGCCACTTCCAATAATAATGTCTTTTTTCGTGCCACTTTTTATAGAGTTACACAAGCTTACCAGTTTTCTACATTGTTGTTATCCTCTGCGTATCTGTATCACGTTGTTTCTACAATTAATATCGCAAACATGACGTAAAAACTAACAATAACATTATTTGTATTATCATTAGCATTTCAAAGCAGTAAAATGTAAAATTCAGTAAGGTTTCAGCGAGACGTTTATACTTAGGTAGAGATATATTTGCACCGTCTTCGTTCTCCCCTAAGCATGCGACGTCGAACCGTCTGTAGCTAGATATATTGGTGTGGGTAGCAGTAAGGATTTGCGGAGATGCGCCTTCCCGAGGTCGTCGACCTGCACGGAGAATGCACGGAAGAGCAGCAACGTTGCGGGTAGGTGGCACCGCCTCTACTCGACCGTCCCCTGCGCGCCTTTTCCCTTCCTTAATGCTTCAGTTGCACCGCTCTTACAGGAACAGCTGAAGGATGTTAGTTATTATTTTGTTTCGTTTTCAATATTTATCAAGTTTGCATGTTGCAGCCGTGTGCAATGAACTGTTTCGATTTTCTGCATGGAGTACTATAAGATTATTCTTTTTTTCCGTAACAAATGGAATTGAAATTTCAAGAAATTTATGACTCTATTACTATTTTAATAGCGTCAGTAATTTAAATCTAATATATTTATTGCATCAATCCCTAATATGTAAGCTGTTGTAATGGTGTACAATTATGTACAGCATTTAATGGCCTTGTTGCAAGTAGTTTAACTGCTTCGCCATTCTCACCTTATGAATTGGTAACTTTTTGTCGCTTTGCGCTCTGCGAAATTTTACTCATTGTTCGTCAGTTTTCTGATACGAACACAACATATCGTGTGTAATTTCTCGCTTATCACCTTGCGGTTGTTTAAGTGAAGCCTTTCTATTTTTTTCGATTGTGTTTCAAATAAGTTGGGCGAGGTTATTTCGCAAGAATGTATCAATTTAGCCGAGGGCCGGTGCGCTCGCTCACAAGAGATTGTGCCGGGCCGGGCCCGCTCTCAACTCCGTGCTCCTGTTTTGCTGACAGCGGAATGCGATAACTAAAGTGGGTTTTGGCGGCACCGAAGTCGTATTTTGGTTACGATAAAGCCCAGTTAAACAGAACTGTCCGTTAGGCGAAACGAAACGGTGTTACGCTGAAATAATGAGAGTCAAATCTATAAAATTGCTGTCGAGCAAAAGATAACCACGTTTGCTATACACTGGCTTTGTTCCAAAATCTAACAGCATCATAGCTAATAGCTATTTTCTTTTTACATACTTTTTTAAATTGACGCCTCTTGAACAATTCTTTTTTAACAGTTATTATTTAGTTATTTATCGAATTAGTTTGAATGAGTTTACCTAACACAGTTACGTAATAATAACGCACATCAGTATAACTTTGTTTGAAGTCATTATGTATTTCCACCTGTGTTTTATTATCGCGTTGTGTACGTTTCACAAGGCCAAGGCTATTTAAAAACAGCTAATATTTGTTTGAGAAAATTCGTAAAAGAACGATTACGAGACGGAATTCGTAAAACTTGAGGAAGGTAATACTTTTATTTGATCGTTTCGATTATCGATTGTGAATGTTGTGATATTTTTTCTTGTTCTTGTTGTTGTTACGGTCGTTTGTTGTATCGTTGCATAAGGGAATCGAGAGAACGGCGGAGTCAAATTGTTTCTTTGGTGAAACTTCATAATTTGAATAACGCGTCTTTGTCGATGGAAAGTGCGTCGCTGTCGTCGTCGTCGTTTCTTCGGCGCGATGCGTGGCGCCTTCTCTTTTGTGCGATGATCTCGATTATAGTTTCACCAACTCGCGGCTCTGAACGACTCGCTTTTCTTTTCGCTAATAGCGCTCAACTCATTCTGACAGTGTAATGGCATAGCTTTTCAATAGAGATCTCTATTCAACTCACAATGTTACCTTGCAAAGAAATTAGAAAAGATAATTATGTTAAAAAGGTTACTGCGATATTGATGGCTCTACTATTTTAACAGAGAAATGAATCTGTTAAATAATACTTTTGTCAGATCAACAAGAAAGCACTTTTCTGTGATGATTTGTTGTTGCAAAAGTACACGTTATTAGGGTCAAGCTGAAAGTACCCCTGAAACCACGACCAAATTGTCACGTACGAGCAAATTATGAGCTCGTCTCGTGCACGCTTAAGAGTATTCAAGAGTCCTAGTTTTTATTGAAGCTAATGAGTGTGTCCCAGTGAAAAATAAACAAGATGAATAAGTATAACTAGCTTTATAAATTTATCCGTGGCCGATTTGGAGCACGGCAGCAGAGGCGTTAATTTGCCGAGGGAGCAATTCGGAACGGGGACATCGGGCGTACTCCACTAGCTCGGAGAGCGCGTTGACCCATTTTGTGCGTAACACGCCGTGGTGCGTCGAGGAATCGATGATTACATAGAAGCCGAATCTCGAGGCCTCCAGCGCTTCACTGATGAGTGCGGATCTGTGTCAGGGTCCTCCCCCGCGGGCCCTACGCCCTTCGAACCCCTCTGCCTCCCACCGGTAGCCCTGCCACAGTTGACCCGTAAACTTGAGTATTTGTGCTTACCTTACTTAGCTCTGTTTAATGCTTTAGGGTCACTGGTTTTCACCTTGTTATGTTGACGTTGTTTGGTAATATTACCAGCGTTAATTTAAACATAAAATATTTTGGTGCACTGAACCAGATTATTTTGAAATTGAGCTGGTAAAAAGATTTTTCGTGACTTGCTCACTGATCGTGTACTAGAGTCACATTAATCTCACTATCTTGCAATCTAACGCTGGACCACTTCCGTGAGATGCAAGCTTTAGAATCGTGTTGCCCTCCCGCAGATGATAAATAAAAGTTGTCTACGTTAGAGGTCGGGCCATTCGCATTCGACATTTACTTTCAAGGGTTTGTCCTGAATGCGTTTATGTTGTCCGCTTTTTGAAACATGATTTATTAATGGGATTTTATGATTGTGGGTGATAAGTAACAATCTTTTGAGGCTGCATAAACCAGCTTCAGGTTAGTGATCGAATGTTGACCGACCTTTGCAGCCTCACCTTCATGAGCCGACAGCGGCTGTGGCATTGTCGCCTCGTCGCCAATAGGAAGCAACACGCAGATCGCTATTGGGCTTAAGGCCATTTTCAATGCACCATCTTTTACCTTGTGCCCCTTCTGTGTGGCATGACCCGAAACTGGCGTGCTGTGGTTATGAGGTGAAGAGCGCACGCACAGTTCTTTATTACATGAACAAATACATCTTTATGTACCAAAAAAGATACCGCTTTAGCTTTCCATTCAGAAATGTTTGTCAAACTATGCCGATAAAAAATTTGAAAGAAAACTGGCTGCTTGCTTGTAGTCTTAATAAATAAAATAGACTAAGTATAAAAAGTGGATTGAGTTATTATAAAAAACTACACATGCAAATCAAAATGTAAATAGAGAGATGATGTTATGAAGTAATGAAAACGATAAATTGCTATTATCGTTGATTTTATTACCAATGCAAAAACTTCACACTAGTCTGATATTTGTTAACACTATTTATGTGTAGTAAATAATAAAATTTTTACACCAAACGTTTTTAAAGAACCCTGAACTCTCAGCACAACACCCAATACCTTGCCTAACTTTTTCAAATGCCACTCATTTGCCATGTAGGTCAAATGCATTACAATGCCAAATTTGACCCCGTTTTTCCTGCTTCAACAGTATAAACTGGGTAATGTAATGACTGATGGAAGCCACAGATTTTATGTCACTGATGCGCCGGTAATTTAATTTAAATTATTATTTATAATCCCTCTTTTATAATCCATGTTCTTTTATGATTATGAAATAGACAGTTAATAGAGTTAATGTGTATCCCACATTAGACTTCAAAAGTTCATTCATAAAGACTTCTCGTTGTTACGTAATATTCTCCTAACAATTCATTCTTCAATGGTCTAAAATGATTTTGTTTTTTACAATTCCATATATTTAGATCTATTGCGTATGGCAATTTATAACTCCTGACGGGTGGTGATTAACGCATTGTTGAGATGTAGGAAAGTAGAACGGGGGCGTCAAATCCAAGGTTCTACTTCGCAGTCGGTAGTTACGCATGATCTAATTTATTTTAACTGACAAATTCACCGCTAACTTGGCGGTTTTAATTTCATTTCCAAATAGGATCTAATGATGACAGCTTGAGCTCACATCGAGTTAGATGATTGATTGATAGCCATTGTAATGTCGGTCCCGTAGCGGTTTTTCTATATGCCTATTTGCTGCAATGTTAAGTGACTTGGATTTTTTCGTTTTGTCTCTCATCTGTGCTGAGATCGGTTCAAAATCAGGTTTTCGTTTTCGAGTTGTCTCTAACTCTATAACATTTCAATGGTTATTTAAACGATTGTATTGCAATTTAATAAATGTTGCTTTTAACACCCAGTTTTCCAAAAAAGTAGCATTTCTGCTGTTAGCATCGGACGTTTCCTATCGTTTTTTTTTATCTAGTATTTCTTAATATACACACGGTCCGCACACGAAGACTGAAAGTGTACGTCCGCCTGGTTTTGTGCGGCCTCAACCGAGTTTTGTCGATGCTTTCTCGAACAGCGAACCGGGTCGCGTTCTCGATGCCCGGTGCTGAGCTGGTACCGACTTCAGCTGAGTCTCGAGTTGACATACGCACACCACCAAGCGCGACCCCGCAACACTAGCACACGCCCACAAACAAATGACGTGTCAGGGCTACCAAACACATTTTAAAGTCAACAATTCAATTGCACCCTGACATTTCTGTTTTCCAACCTAGACTCTATCTGCTTTGACCATCATAAAATTTAACGTAATTGACAGCGACGACCCTCGCAACCGTACGAGGAAGTGGGGTCATACAATTTATATTAGGCTGAATTCAAGGTCTAGCCAATCATTTTAGTCATCTAGTAATTCGTAGGACAATAAAATTTGAGGCCGATGTTTGTCTTTTTGATTAACACATTTTCACAACAAGTGTTTGCTGTAAGGAGTGAAACTTAAAGGTATAACAGCAATTGTGAACGATATTTTCCTTTGATCTGAGAGAGATCGGTTTGCATATTCATGTTAAATTAAAGTAGGACGTGTGCAGTAGGGCCGAGGTGGCACAGTTTCTCGTTTGAATCGTAAATCAATCTATCCCAGTTAGATTAGCGTTTCCACGCCGTGTTTCACGGCTGTCGAAGCCTCAGCTTTCCAATGTGTTGCCAAATGTTGTTGCACGTAAGGCGGAGCGCGGGTTGTGGCGGTTTCGGTTCCCCGCGCTGGCCCACCTTGCATCGTGTGTCGCGGAATGTTGCATAACTTAATACGCCCGTTTACTCTTGCTCACATCACTCTTTGTATTTAAAACACCAAGTGTCATCATAATAAATTGACACTCGACCCATTCAGCGCTGATCCGGTTTACTTGGGGTTCCTGGGAAAAAGATGCCATTCTCTTTTAATTGTATGCTCGGTTTCGGTATCGATATGCAAACTTTTTATTTCTTTGATAATTTGTGGGTAAATTGATAAAAACTTGCCAAGTGAAATGCGATGCACGATATTTTCAATAAGCAAAGTACTAACTCACCTACGAGTTTTATCACCTACCTGTTTAATAAGTGCCTCAGTAATCTGCTGAATATCTAGCTCTAGATAATTGTAGAGTTTATCGATTTCCTGAATATTATCGTAACGCGAACGCAACGCGTTGAAGTATGGTATATCTCGCGTCGGAATGTTTACCGCTTCAGCTGTACGTAGTTTGTGAATTGGTCGTTCGTCCTCGTCCTCGCCCGTTCGCTTCCGCCTCGCAGCTTATCCTCGCCTCGCGGTGCCAATGATAATCTTTTGTGCTACAAGCCTTGATCCTAGTAGACCTTACTGCCGTCTATTGAATTTCTGTTATATGAATTTTCATTTCCTTTCTAGGTATAATCAGCAAACCGCGCGCTCTCCTTGGTTAAAGTACGTAATACTTTTTAATTCTTTATTTTTACTTAGTTGTTACTTTTAATTTAATTTCTCTTTGGGAGCGTTAGTGATGCTAGGTAATGCGTAATTATTAAGTAGCATAATAGGCCACGTGCAAACAGGTAGGCATGCATGCGGCCAGCGGCTACGTCACAGCGCCGCCCATGAAGGCCATGACGTAACGCCCAGTCTCACCATTATTTAGTTGGTCGATCCATCGCTCGGGTTTCTTCACGAGGCCATACCACTTTGCCAAGCGACAGCAGAGGTTGTGCTCATTATACTGTTTCCTTTACGCCACTTACACGGCTGTGGAAAGACAATGACAACAAAGCATTTACTTTGTTTGAACAAGGAAACTAACGTTCCGTTAATATTTTTTATTTTATTTATTAATACATTGACGTGACATCATACATTATTACGGTAACCTTCAAAGTATCATTGTTATCGAGTTGGGGCCTTGTATTTCCCATAGATAGAAAGCTAGTTACACAATGTATAGGCAGCCGTCGCTTATCCCTACGACTTTGGATTGAAGCCAAGACTCAAGTGGAACTTCAGTGGTATTCAGAAGCCGTGTCTTGAATATTGTTGGTATATAAAACAGTTGCTCGCCATTTGCCAATATTTCTCGTGATTACTTAGTATCACATTTACTCTATAAGTGATCTTTAATATATTTGTTACTTGTGAATTGTGAGCCGCTGATATAAATAGCCGGGCTTGTTATGTAACAAATATGGTAATTTCCGTGATTTCCTATACAAACGAAACCTTTAAAAAATTCGCTCACGTGTGCTAGGCATTGGTTATAAACTGTATCCGCAGCAATCATTCATATTTTCGTCATTGAATATTTATCTTTCAATGTCAAAACGATAACAATTTATTAATATTTTATATCGTACCCTATCGATTCCAATAACTTCTCGATCGATTATGTCACCCGATAAATAGTAATAGGCTCTGTAGGTAGTAAATAATATATTTTTTCTAATTGTATTCTTTTTTCTTTTCGTGTGCGTCATTCCAGCCTGTATTTATGCGGCATAGTGCGACAGCGTGCGCTTGACGCTAGTCGCGGTCACCTTGCGCGTCCCCGAGCATCTCGGACGAATAGAGGTGGTGCTCATCAGTTCCGCGTAGGGATGTGCGATGTTTGCATTACAACTGATATCTGACATTCGTACCGATTCAAATTCAATTGGAAACAAATGCTGGGACTATATCGATGTCTCTGACACTATTGAAGCAAGAATGTAGTTTTTGGAGCTGTTTGAAACTAGATACAAAATCTAACAATTAAAAATATATAATACATGCGCTGAACTAATCGCTACGGATGATCTCTTCCAGAACACACAAGACATAAACTAAATTGATTTAAAGACAGTAATTTGGCAGACGTTCATATTTTCTAATTTTGCCAACCGCGCGATATAATAGTTGCTATACCAATCGATTTACTGATAGCTATCTCTGAATAATCGAATATCGATTGTAGGACCTCTAGTTCTAAGTAGGCTCTCGCAGTCGTCATGTACTGGAATGTTTATTTATGTAACTGCTTTGCATATTGCGCTGCATGTTCTATAACCTCCTATGATGCGTCCATCGATATCGTATGTGTAAATCGATTTACATGCAAATTATGAACGTGCTTAGCTGGGAATAATTGTGCCAATAGTTTTGTGAAAACCATCCGCATCGAGATTCAAGAATTTTATCAATTCGCAGATAATGTATATCCAAATGTCACGCTTTGCAAAACATAAACTGACACGTAGGTGGGTGCTGTGTATCAGAATAGATAAAAACACACACAGCACGGATTAGATACGTGATCGTTGGAAATACTTAGTGGTAAAATAAGAATCTATTAAAAAACAAAATTGCTAAATTAATATAATAATTTATCCAAAATGAAATTCAAATTAACTTGTCTCTTTTAAAAATTGAAAAATTTTTGTAGGTAGGTATCATTCGTTAACTGTGCCTCCTAGTTCACAATACAATTTTATTTCGATACACTCAATAAGTAAATAATGTTATGAAACATGAGGAAATACCTACACTAATAAATTCTCAAGCCCGTGAGCAATGTTTAAATAAAATTAAAGACATGACTCTACATGTCCAAAAACAAAGCAAAAGTCGAGAAATCAATAGAAATTGTAAACATTATTCTATATTATTGAGATACGCATGCTGCGGTTATATTGTATTCTGAAAAAGAGCATTTGATCTTTGTCCATTTTTTCTTTTCTTTCTCAATTATCCGGCTTTGACATTGAGCATTTATCGTTACACTTGCGTCGGCCTGAGACGGTGACGACTACCGCAGCCTTGAGAATGTCGTGTGTTTGATTATTCCGCACATCGTAGGTACCTATTGTTTGCACTGCTGAAGCCATCTATTTAAACATATTTATGAAAAAATATCACGGCTCTTTACGTAATAAGTCATTAGCAAGTTAGGTGTGAAGTACCTAAATGAAATAAAGAAGAACTTCCGCTCTTTCCCCTACAATTTTAAAATAAGATATCTCCAAATTATGACTTCTTTTATAAAAAAAAAAACAAATTAATTTATTAGGTAAGTATCGCCTACTTCATTTCGTTTGAAATTGCTAAACAAATTATCCATTCTTTAAGTAATTTGATAGAAGCCCTGCTAGTTACGATCGCACTGCGGTATTACTCTGTCGAAAAACAACTGCTAGCCTCTGAAACGTCTGGAGGTCGTAGGTACCGCTCAGTGACACGACGCCAAGCCGGTCTGTGAAATTAAATTCACCCCGAACCCGCGTTTTCAGACACTCGAACTTCAAAGGCACCAACTTCATAAAATAATATCTTTAGTAATTTGGTTCAGCTAACTAACTTCTCCGAAAATGTTTTAGCATAAACTAAACCGTTTCAGCATTCAAGATCGCTTTACAAAGGTTATTAACAATTTAAAGATACCACCTCGGTAGTTTGAGGTTGCGGTCACAGCGTAAACACGATACTTTATGAACAATTTTATTGTGTGAACAGTTTTATACATTGCCTCCGGTCAATCTCGCTCTATCAATGCCTCCGTTTATCTCTTTTTAGTGGACAAAAGCAAAATTACTTATTTTTATGAGCATGAAAGGTATTACCAAGCGCAATATCCATGAACACAATACATCTGTTATTAAAGTGTTATAACATTTATTTATTTATTTATTTAAAATCTTTATTGCACACATAAAAACAGTGGTACAACAGGCGAGCTTAACATACGCTAGAGATGTGCAATAATACGATTTCTTAATGGAATTAGTTCTCAAATCTAGGTATTTAGAATCAACCTTAAAAGTTAATGTTTTCTAACTACGCATAGAAGTAAAGATGACTCTACATGCTCTTTATCTGGTTTGGATATAGAAAAAAAACTAACAGCAACAACTTTCAAATACTGTAATTCTCTGTGCCCTATGATATCATGTAAGTTATCAAAGTTGAAAAGCCATATTTCAGTACCTAACTTATATCAAACTGAAATCCGAGCTAACGTTACGGTGCATCACTAAAAATGCTGTCGAGACCACGTTAACCTCGTTACTTCAAACGTCTTCTGTTATACAGCACACACTGAAAATATCTATTTCAAGCAGTAACATCTTTTATTCACAGTCACAAGATCACCTTGCGGCTCGAGATATGTTAGGATTAACTTGTAAAATCAAACTACGTTTTTCTAACACCGGCGACCGATATGCTACTTTTATTATTCCTGAAACTCGTGTTTATTAATATTGACTGTACTGCTCAAGTATGTATGCACATTTATTGTATGCTATTCTGAATCTCAGATTCTCAGTTGCCATTGCTGTAATAAAATTGCAAATGAATGCGAATACTATGTACAAGGTACATTTATTAATAAATTACATCTGAGCCTTAGATTTTTCCTGTTACAGGATTGTAATGGCGGCAATTAACAATTGAATACGTAGTATCTTTGTTATTTTTTATGTTATTGTCGAGTTTGCGTTGTCGGTGTTTACAGAATTGAACCGATAGCGTTGGACATTTGTTCGCGGTAAACACCCCGTCCTTCAGATGAGCTCAGTCGAGGACCCTATAATGCCGGGTCGTCCTGAGGGCGTCTGAGTCACAGTATGCAGTTGTCGTAAAGAGGGCATTGCTCACTTGCTTCGCCCCCCTTGGCTCGCCCGCTGCATCAATGAGCGATTGAAAATAAAACCACTCATATGCGTATCAGGACACTATTGTTCTACACGTCCTTATTCTAATTCTATTGTCTCGCCAAGTGTCCGCCATTTTTGTTATTCACTGCTAAATTATGGTGGCACATTGGCTATTGTCAACCTTTAAAAGTTTATCGAATGATCGTATTATAATTTTTAATCAATTGTATTTTCAAGCTTTGGCCTCCTAACTATGATATTATACAAGCGGAGCTGCGGAGTTACCGTTCATCCTTTCAGGTCCGATCATTCTCATTTAGTTTACAATCTTTTCTGAAAGCTCTAGACTTTGGAGTATTATAAAATTGGACCAATTAAATCTTGATTTATCACAAACATTGCGAAACGGCCGATAATAATCGTTTGAAGACTTAGTTTATAATGTTGATCTCAAAAATGTTGTGAAACGACAACGTGAGGACTTAAATATAGAAGAGGATGCGAGCAGGTCGGGTGACATCTATAATAAGACGGCGGGAGACCGATGATATGTACTACGTAGATTGCCCAAGCTTTCACGGGTTGTTGACTTCAAAGTCCACATAAACGCATTTATATTTGTAGTTAAATAAAATAACTTAGAAAAGTAAGCGGAAAGTTGGTGGAAATTACGGTTTTTGGCAGGCGACGACAATAGGTAAATTGAAATAATATTTATTTTCATTCAATCTACCTATTTCAATAGTAGCATATTTACCACAAATCATTTTATTTTTGGTTGAAAACATTAAATAAGTTTTCAGGCGTATT